CGGTGCTCAGGCACCGTGTCCCGGCACGCCGGCGTCCCACGGAACGTGTGTACATAGGAATAGACGCTCTCAGGTGCTAAATCCATGCTGAGCAGCTTATCTGGGCTCGCAGGCATCAGGCACAAACAGCCCCAGCCTTTGGTGTCTCTGCTCTGTGTATTGTTACACACAGAAGGCACTGCACCGTGCCCTTCTTCCCCTTCAGCGCCGAGCACTGAGCGTGGCTGTGCCAGGGGCTGCACCTCTAATTCACCTGCCCAGACACACAGGGAGGGGCAGGGAGGGAATCACACACTGCTAAAAATCTCCCATTAGCTGGAGTCCCATTGCAGGCTACCAGAGGTTCCAGTATTTTGCCTTTCAGTGCTGTCGGTCCCACCCCCAGTAATCTGCAGGAGTGGAGGATTTTCAACACCTTGACAGATTAAACCTCAAGAGCAAACCTGTCACACAGGTCTTTGTCATGCAAACTTGAGGCCAAGTTCAATAACATCCTGTTACTCTTCTGCATTGCGGAAGCCTTGAAAAATTGATTTTCTGTTTTGCCACTGAGTTCAGTGGAACCAGGGTTTAGCCCTCCAAGGGAATTGTATTCCTGTAGATTGTAGCTGCTTCTGAAATCCTTAATTTCACATCCTTAAATAGTCAGACTTTGAGATAGATAGACCAGGTATGGGTGCAGACTTTGCTGGGTGTTGTTGACCATTGCTGGGTTATTAACTCCCCTATTGGTCTGCAGTGCTTTTTTTTCCCCCTTTGAAAAAATGCATTTCAGAGATTGAAAGGCCTGATCCAAAATGTACAGGAATAAATACAAGTCTGTGTATTGATCACCAGAAAAGGATTTTAAAGGGAGTTGGTCGTTGTTTACAGCAGGAATGTACTTTAAACAGAAACAAGAAATGTAATCTGTTAGGGCAACATTAATCCAGGGAAAACACTTTCTGGAGCGGCCAGAGCTTGTTAACACAGCAAACACCTAAGGCAGCACTGTGTCTTTAAGCTCTACTAATATTGAACAATAATAATTTTGGTGGAAGAAAATCTTCCCCTCTCTCCCTGAACAGAAACAAGACATATTATTGACTGCCATTGGGAAAGATGAATGCGCTGGCCCTCGGAGTCTATTAATATTTGATGCTGATGGATGTGAGCTGGCAGCTGAGTTATTAATGGGGTTTGGTTCCTTGGACCTCACCCACAATCCATAGGGGAGAATTAACCATAACACAAGGACTGGCTGCCCAAACCTCTCGGGGTGCTGGGAAGGGCTGTGAGTAACAGCAACAGGGAGTGTTTCTGAAGTACTTGCAGGCATGGAATGTCACAGGTGGGGCTGTTTACATCCCTGCCACCATTCATTCTGATTTAAAGGGCACTTTTTGGTCACCTTTAGGGTCACAGGATTGAGGTGTTCCCCTCAGGTCTGGATTTCAAACAGAAGGAGGCTCACTGAGCAGCTGTGGATTTGTGGGACACCCCATCCTTGGTGGCCCCTCCCACACTGGAAGGTGTGTGATGCAGAGCAGGGGGCAGGAATGAGCTGCTCCACACCCAGCAGGGCATTTCCCAGAGCTGGCCCTGACCCCACATCCAGTTGTTTTCCATCATTTATGTTAGATTTGACCCCTAAAATTAGAAATAATACATTGGATAGATGTCAGGGGGAAGTTTTGATTGGCTGGGCCTTCTAAGTGAAAATGGTGAAGAAAATGAAGCGCTTTGGAAAGTTTGTGATGTCCATATGGGTCATTCTGACTTGGATAATAGAGATGTAAAATATCAAGTTATTTATAGCTCAGTTTCTTAACACAACTTTAGCATTTTCAGGGGTATATGTTTGATTGAATTAGCTACTCCTTCCTAGCAGGGATACCACATCCAGGCATTTACTGTCCTCATTAACCTCCCGATCTTAATAGAAAAAAAGAGAATAATCAACATAAGGAGCACAGCTGTTGATTAATTTTACTAAATAGGATAGAAATATAAAGTGCCATATTGCAAGAGTGAAGATTCAATACAGCACATTTGAAATCAGTTTATTAGAATATATAACTCATTAACAGCTGGATAGACTTGTACTGCAGCATTATCCACTTGGGCAGGTGGTGAGAGGGAGGGAGAATTTACATATCTTTAACAGTACCTGAATGCATTTAATTTCCGAGGTCATTCTCCCAAATCAAGTTCAAAATGTTAATAACAGGGTGTGCATTTATAATTAATAAAATCTTAGAGCCAGTGCTATAGTTCAAGTGCATTTTCCTCTTATGTAATTAAGAAGTTAAGTGTATTTGGCAGTTGTCACTCAGAGAGCTCTGAAGGTCTCGCTTGTCAAACCTGGGGATAGAAATCTCATTAAGCCAGGTATTTTTTTTCAGTTTAGGTTTGTTTGCAAAGTAAGTGTGTAGGTGGTGGGCAGCCAGAATGCCCAGCCTCTGTTAGTCCATAAAATAAAGCACATTAAAGTAAATGCCAGAACTCAAAGCCGTGGTGAATAAAGATGGAACAGCCTGATGTTCAGCTTGTAAGAATCACAGAATCATCTTTAAAGTTGGAAAAGACCTCTAAGGCCACCAAGTCCAGCTGTCAGCCCAGCACCACCACTGTGTTGACCACTAAACCATGTCCACAAGTGCCACATCCACATGTTTTTTGAAGACTTCCAAGGATGGTGACTCCACCACTGCCCTGGGCAGCCTGTTCCACCTCTTTCTGTGAAGAAATTGTTCCTAATATCTAATCTAAACCTCCCCTGGTGCAACTTGAGGCCACTTCCTCACCTTATTGTCCTGTCACTCACCTCACTGCAACCTCCTTTCAGGGAGTTATATCCCTTTGCTTTGGGATTCCCAAAGTGTGTTTGACTATGGAAAACCGCAGAATCCACCCCCGTTGGGCCCTGGGCCAGGAAGAACTGACCCCCAAAGGAGCTGCTCTGCAGTCACAGAACATCAGCTGAGGAATGGAAATCCAGCAGGTGGATTTCCACCTGCTGCCTCCACCCCTGGCCCAGGTGGTGTTTTAGAGGCATCTGGATGTGGCACTTGGGGACACGGTTTAGGGGTGATTGATGGTTGGACTCGGTGATCTTGAAGGTCTTTTCCAGTCTTGGTGAGCCTGTGAGCTCTGGTTGGTTAATCTGCTTCCCAAGGGGATATTTTAGCTCCGCATCACTCTGCTCCACTTTCCTTTTCAAAGGAATTTTCTTCTCCTTCTGGATCACTAGTTCAAATCCAGATAAGGTCAGTTGTCACAGAAATTATTGGCAGTACCAGCAGCCCTGTGTCGGACGTGGAATGAGTTGGGAGTTTCGTTCACACATGGTCTGGGTCCCTAAGTGGCACTAATTGGCTGTCTAATTGTCACACACAGGAGAAAGGCAGAGGATTGATTAGGCGTGGAGGCTGAGTGCCCCTCTGCCAGCCAGGCTTCCTGGAGCTCATTCCATGGGCATGCTGGCAGGGTAATGAGGGGCAGCGTGCTTTGGATTCGCTGGCTGTCGAGGCAGCATCTTTTCCTGCCAGGCCTTTTCAGGGGAGCTTGTTTTACTCCACCAAGGTCAAAGATAGCATCTTTTACAAACGCTGCCTTCGCTCAAAAGTCAGGGGCTTGCAGGATTTGCTTGTGAGCAGCACATATTTAACCGTTTCCTTTGCTTCCCCCAAACCCAAAGTTTTTTGTAGAAAATAGGATGAGTCACTGTGGTGTGAGGCAGAACTGCTGTAGAAAACATAGGGGGGTTTATGGTGCTCAGAAATCTGTCCATATTCCCTTTTGCTGTCTCAGTGTCTGATGTGTGATGTACAGGCTCCTGGAGGTAACTTGCCACGACACAGGGAACCTGACGTGGTGTGCATTTATCTCCTGATAAATGGATCTTCCTGTCAAACAGCAAAGCCTCTCACCTGCAAAACCACATTTTGACCAATGTCTTTTCCCCTGAGCTATGGTATAGGTCACACCGTGCAATGTAGGTGCTTTTTAACCTGGAGTAGGTTCTCTTTCTCTGACATAGAACTAAGTCATTAAAGAGTGACTCACTGAAGTAGTAAATTTAGGAGCTAGTTTGTGATATGAAAGGCAGGACTACACAAAGAATCAAAAATACCTTGTATATGCTAATGTGTGTAGGCCCAACCATGGCACTTAGTAAGTTCATTAAGGCTTAAACCTCAGTTAGTGAGGTTAAACTACAATTCCTTTAAACCTTATTGTGCTCATATTTTAATTCCCTTGTTGTATCAGATGAACAGTATTGGTAAGAATTATGTCTCTCAACCACACAAGCTGATCAGTGCATACAGTGTTACCAGAATGTAGTGCTGAAATATGCTATATTTCTGTAAAATGTATTTCCTCTCCTTTCCCTCCCTTTCCCCACACCTGGAGCAGAGACAGGACAGGGCCCATGTGTTCTGCTGTGTGCCTCCTCTCTCTGACATACACATCCCTCCTGTTCAACCTTCTTCCTAAAGTCCCAATCTCATGCAAATTAATTGAAAACAAGTGCAGGTACCAGCTATGCATCAAAAAGCTCTGATGCACCTGCCATGTCGTTTTCCTCTCTGCCAATCTGTGCAAGATGAGCATGCACGAGATCCTTTAGCTTTTTAACAGCCCTGTTCTTGGAATATATTTCCCCAGAAAAGCAGAGCAATCTTTGCACGGTTTCAGACTGTATATTTTGTGATTAGTGTTTCGTAAGTGATGTTTTGCTTAATGATCTAACATCTGTTCTAGGAGGTTTGTTTTTGTAACTTCCCCACCTCCCGCTGAACGAATGCCAGAAACTTGTCCCTTTCCTCCAAGTCAATCAAAGCACTAATTGCATCATAATCAGGGGAAGCAGCAGTGACTGCTCAAGTGCTGAAGACTCAGCAATCAACTCACAACTCTCTGCTCTCTGTGTGGAGAGAGAAAGGCTCCCTGTGCCGAGATGGGAATTTCCTGCAATCCCGATTTCTTGAGCTGACTGGGTTTTTTTGGGTTTGCAGGGAGAGGACTGCACCATTACCTGCATGGCAGGAACCTACGGAACCAATTGCTCCTCAGTTTGTAACTGCAAGAACGACGGTGCCTGTTCCCCTGTGGACGGGCTGTGCTACTGCAAAGAAGGTAAACAAAATTAGGATTTAGCCATTGTGGGCAATTTGGCATCAGTGCTTCTCCCCTTTTGAAGTGGCACAGCTGTGCAGTCAGTAACCCCACTATTTTCTTGTCTGCCCAAGTATCCAAGCTCAACAGGGGCTTGACTGGATGTTTTGTTTCTGCCTTGAGCAGGGGCCAGACTTCCCTGCTCTGCTGCAGGAACAGGTCACAGAACTAAGTGTGTTGGCAGAGCCACAGCTCCTCTCCAGAGGAAATGCAAAGCAATGCCCAGATCATTGGGATGGTTTTCTTTATCCCTTTGCTGCCTTGTTTCTCCAGGATTGCAAAGCCCCTGTTCTCCCTCCCTGCCTGGAGTGGCACACTGGGCACAGGGGCAGAGGCAGCTTCCTGCCTGTCTTTCCTCCATCCCATTGCTCTGTTCTGTGCCTGGCCATGTTTATCCTCACCAGACCTGGCCTGACCTGCAGACTGCCTGCCCATCTCAACCTTGGGCTGGCCCCAGTCCTGCTGATCTGGGCTCCTGGCTGACCTCAGCTGCCAGCCCCATGCTGGGACTGTGGGGTGGGCCCTGGCTCTCTGCCCTTGCTGCCACCCTCAGCTGCCAATCCTCCCTGTGCCCTGACACTGGGACACCCCAGCCATGTGCAGGTGTCCTCTGTCACCTGAGCCTGCAAGGGGTCTTTTATCTGGGGAATCAAGAAGTCTTACCTGCTCCAGAGTCTCTCTGCAAGACTGACATCCTTTCTTCCCCCATGTGTCCATAATTCCCCCATGTGCTTGGTGGTGAGCATAACCCATGTATCCATCCAACAATCCCCTGAGAAATCTTGCACTGCTCCACAGCAGTGTCTCTTATGTTCCCCCAGAATCCCAACATGAGCTATACCCGTCTGACACACATAAGCCCTAAACCAGAAGTGAGGCAAATAACGATAAAATCTGGCATTTCAAACATGAATTAATGGATCACTGTAGAACCCCATTTAATGAGGGATTATAAACCATGAGTTACTGCTCAACTCCATTACATACAGCTGCAGTGTAATGAAAGTCATTGTGTGGCTGGTAGTTAAGATTTGAGCCTTAATGGCTAGAAATGATGGCCTTGGTCTTTTTTTAGGTGTAATAGCTGCTTTATATTAAATAGCATTGTCAAAAAAAAAAAGATATAATAGGAGGCAAGAAACAGGCAGCATCAAATGGCAAGTTTCTTGCATCCCCAGGGGTCAGCAGGTCTGCAGCCTGACAGGCAGCACAGCCTCTCTTGTGCTGCCCCAGCAGTTCCCAGAAAGGCACCAGAGACCTTAAACTGGTAAGAGCCAACACAGTGACACCTTCATCCATCCCCCTCTGCATGTACAGGTGCTGGGAGATGAAGCTGGGAGGTCATAATAAAAGGGTCAATCTTTGACACCAAAACAGTCTTAATTTACACTAACAAACCAGTCCTAGAATCACAGAGCAGCTGCTGCCTTTCTTGCTGTCTCTACCTCACTTTTTTCATGAAAACATCCCAAATGCTCTTTGTCTCTCCTGTTTCTTTAGGGTGGCAAGGAGTGGATTGCTCTATTCCATGTTCAAGTGGAAGTTGGGGTCTGAACTGTAACCAGACGTGTTCCTGCACCAACGGAGCTGCCTGCAGGCCAGCAGACGGCTTCTGCCTCTGCTCCCCGGGGTGGCAGGGGGAGTTCTGTGAGCAGCCCTGCCCTGTGAGTACCACTGGGGCAGTTCTGTGCCCAGCCCTGCCCTGGGAGTACCACGGGGGTGCTCTTGCACACTCTTTAAACCACAGCCCTGCTGAACACAGAGTAGGGCAGCATCTCATTTTGCCTGGCAATGTCTGAAGGAAATCATGTGTAAATAACAAATTGGGGTTCTAGCAGCTGAGTGGATGTATTATACTTTGCATTATATTTTATCAGAGCTGTTGCTGTGTTATCTGCATTTTCTTGAGCATCATTTTTTAAAGTGATTCTTCATTTGGTTCTGTATAGAAACATTAGGCACTGAGTTTCTATCTTCTCTGTATGTTAATTTAAAAGATGCGACTCAGCATTAAGAGGGACATGATAGATGCTTTTGCACATTTCAGAACAAAAAACTGATTACTGAGAGGCTTTTTTTATTTATATTTTTGAAGGATGGAACATATGGTCTTAATTGCAGCGAGCGTTGTGACTGTAACCACGCCGATGGGTGTGACCCTGTCACTGGGTACTGCTGCTGCCTCGCAGGCTGGACAGGTAAAATTAAGAATTACCTTGGTAAACCTTGGGGGTTTGTTGATTTTGGGGGTTTTGTTGAGTTGTTTCGCTTTGCTGTTGCATCGTTTATAGCACTGGACTTGTGACTGCAGCCTTTTAAATAATAGATTGAGACAAGATCAGCTGAACTCGCCCATATTTGAATCACTGGTGATGGTGACGATAATTGGCATTCATTAAATTTGTATTCAGATGAGTTGAAGATGGCTCCAAACCTGGAGCCAGATGTTAGCCTTCTGGAAAAGCATCCTCAGGAGGAATGCAGATCAGCTGGAAATCCTGCAGAGTTTTTCTCCTTGAACAGCCCTTTCCACGGGGGTGCAGCTGTGGGCCGGCAGATCCCGGGAACGTCATACCTGGGATGCAGATGGGGCTTTTCTGAATGCTGAGAGTCGATACAGCTGCTCCATCCTACAAAACTCAGGTTTTTCCCCATTTTCCTATGCTTCTTGTCACACAGAAGGGCAGTTACAGGGAGCAGATCAGTGCTGCTGTGACAGAGCTCTCGTGGTGACACAGTGGCAGAGAGGAAAATTCCGTGAAGTCGGAGAGTCCAGGCTGGAGATCTCAGTGCAATTAGACCTGCACTTGACTCCACACTGATGGTCTCTTTGCCAGCCCTTGACAGCTGACACAACAGCAGTGGGGGGCAAGTTATTGACCCAACCAGTATTTCACACTTAGCTGCCTAAAATGCTGGTTAATGTCCCTCCGCTCTCTGTCGAGGCCCTGGGGGGAGATAAAGTTCTGTTCTTGCCCATAACTGCAGAACCACCAGTGGCAGTGACAGTCAAATTGCATTTATATTAACAGCGAGTCATTTGGAAAATTTAATTGTTTTTCAAACAACTACCAAGCTGAAGGAATGTGTGGAGCAAGGCAGGCTGCTCAGGCAGCCAGGGTTTGGGATCCTGTCACCTTTCCCCTTCGTTTATGCCTCAAAGCAATGCATGCCTTCTATTTCTGGTGGAGAGGACACACACTCAGCTCCCAGCAGCATGAAGCAAAAGCAGTGAAATTATGCCCAGAACATACAATGGAAATAATCTTTTAAGAAGTAAATAAAATTGTAAAAATGGGACGTTCTGCACATTGCTTACAACAAGGCTACTTTTTAAGGATACTGGGCCTACGTTGAAAAGGGCATTTTTCCTCCAAGAAAATACATTTTAAAATCTCACTAGTATCCCCTCCTCCATCCCCTTGCCTTCCTCGCTGGCTAGAGTGCATTCATCTCTCTTTGCCATCAATGTATCCATCTATCAGGCTTTACAACTCTCCTGTGCATTATTGATGATCAGCAGAGAAACAGCTGGTGGGCTTTTCCTGTAGCCATTGTGAGTTTCTTCAAGGGAGAAAATGGTTTTTAGAAGTACAATAAATTGAAGAGAGATATTTATACACACTTATTCTTAAAGTTTATTACACATCCTTCTGGATGTAGCATTCCAGAGGAAACTGCAGGAAATGAACTTTGCAGGCTGTGCAGACTGAAAGGGTGGCTTTTTCTCGAAGGCATTTGCAACAAATACTTTGTGCTTACTCCCATGCACATCTGTAAATGAACTTCACCTGCAGATACTAATTACTCTAAGTAAAGGTAAAAATAATTTCTGATGTCCTTCTTCTTTTAATTTCCATATTGGGCAAGATAAATGTGTATTACCTTGCAGGGGATTAGCTGCAGCCTAAGCACTTTATCCTTCAACGTGCCCCTGCAGTTCTGGAACTCCTTCTTCAGGATCACATTTCAGGGAGGAAAATATTATGTTCATATCCAAGACCAAGTTGGAGTTGAGACGTTGACAGGGCCGTGTAAGGTGGAAATGTTGATAGACAGAGCCAACATGTGTTTTGTCAATTCTCCTTCCAATGTTTTTTCCACTTGGCTTAGCACCAGACACAAGGATACATTCTGCTCATACTAGTTTGAAAGTATGTAATTTAAGAAACTCTTCAGCTAGATAATTATATTTTCATATTAAGGAGTGTGGCATCAGTGAAAGATTAATCTTATCTGCAGTTGTTGTGAACTGGGCCATGATGTGTATTGCAGTGCATTTTATAAATATGAGGTGATAAATAATTCAGGCTGAAATTTTTGCATTCTGGATTTGGTACTAATTAGGCATGGCCTGAAAAAGATCAGAAAAGTTCAGGATCATGGAACATCTGAAGGTTTTCCTGCCCACTCACACCAGACACAGAATTCACGTGGCTTTCTGATCCTAATAGCCACAAAACTTCATCTGAAACCAGCATATTCTGTGTGTTCATCCCAGACGTGGGACTCCCTCTTGATGTCGGTGTTTTATGTAGAGATCAAGGGGAAGATTGAACCCATTTTCTTTAAAGAGGTTTCAAGATGTTCCTCATATAAACCTTCAGGGACTGATGGATGGTAAGGGAATGGAGGAGGACTGGGAGAGGAAGGAAGGAGGCCTGTCAAGAGGAGCACACAATGTAAGTTAATAGCAGTCTGCCATCCTTTTATGATGTCATGACTGCCACCCATCAAGACTCTTATTGAGGACAGTGACCTTCTGTGGGTACCAGCTGGGGAAGGTAATTTTCAGGAGCTGAGTGTACCTGGCAGATGGGAAGATGATGAAGAGATTCCCACATATCAGCCAGGAGATCACAAAGCTGTGCAAGGCAGCTGGATGCATAAATAAGCACACTGGCAACAGGCTGCTCCGAGACGTGCATATTCCCTTTCCACTGAGTTCCATAGGGAATTACATGTGTGCAGCCAAAGGCAGGAGTTAGATCAGATCTAGAGATGATTGAACTCTGGTGCTATTGCTGAAAATTACTCAGCCAAGCACACAGGCACGTGGAATCACAAATGCCTTCAGAGGAAGCAGAACGAGCAGGACATTTGTGCTTAAAAGTCAAAAAACACATTGGAAAAAGGCTCTCATGTGGTGCAAAGTGAAACTTGTTCAAATGTTGGCTAAAATCAGATCTGTGACCTGATGCAGAGGTGAGTTCCCTCCACATGAAGGAAATGTGGGATGCAGTAACACCAAGGGCACAGCCTTGCACTGGATGGAGTTCTCCAGCTTGTACCAGCACTGCATCCACATAACCTCACCTGTACAAATAGTACCCTGGAAATGCAAAGGAGAGATGATCATATCTACTGCTGATTCAAAAAGGAAAAGTGTAGCCCTCAAAGGATCAAGTCTTGACTGATCAGACTGTTTTCTAAGGATTAATAAGGGTCTCTGGCTCCTGCTCTGCCGTGCATTTTATACACAGACACTGCTGTGCTTGCAGCTCTGTGTGTGTGTGCACAGGTACCTCAGAGCTCCCAACATACCAGTCATTTGTGGAAGAGGTGTTATGTTGTGTACATTTAGGTTAGAACGAAAATGCTTGAAGTTGGAGTGCTTGGCTGCTAATTGCATTTGGTTAATTAGGGATCCTGCACACACGGAATCCGTGGAGGGAATGGAAGCACAGAAATGCCCTGTGGTGGAGCAGCTCCTGGAAGCCCTTTGCAAGCAAACAGGTCCTGGAGAAGCAGGCAGCAGTCTCATCTTTCCCAGGTGCAGCCTCCTCTCCTGGGTGCTCAGTGACAATGTTAAGGTCATAAATATCAATTAGTCTCCTCTAATTATTAATAAATAACCTGAAGCTGGACAGAAAAGGACCAGCTGCCCTGGTGGCCCTGTGGGGTGAGCAGGGAGGACGTGGATGACAAAGTTCCTGTGGTGGGTGCAATGCTGGTGGCCCTGGAGGTGACAGCTCCAGCCAAGCCATGTGGGGTTTGCAGGATGAGCTGCAAACCCCCTCGGGCTGGTCCTCCCTCCTCAGGGGGGCTGCTGGCAGTGTGTTTTGTGCCAGAAACAGCTTCCTCAGGTACCAGCTGGTTAAAATCACGTAGCCTTCAGCTGGCTCACTCAGTACAAACCTCAGTAATTACCTTAGTCATGGCTGCTGGCCTGCCTTTTAATTTCTGGAGGTGTTTCCTTTGTGCTTGACCTGAGGCAGGTGAGGGCTCTCTGGGAGGCCAGACCCAGCCGGTGCTCGTCCTACCTCCAAGACCCGGGTCCATCCTCTTCCCAGGCAGCCATCCTGCTCCCAGACAGCTTACAGAAGGAAAGCCACAGGCCTGGCTGCTCTTCACACCGAGCTCTGCTCCTCCCTCTGATGAGTCTTCAGGTTAATTGGGGCAAGTGTGTCTTTTGTAACCTTTCAGCTGTTACAGGGGGATTAAATAACAAGTGATCTGCAGGGGGACGTGTTCCTGCCTCTAAATGTTAAGGTCAGTTAAAATCCTGTTTATCTGAATTCCTTTAATCTGAAATGCTGTCTTATCTGCAGCTTGTTCTGCCTCTCCCTTTTTGTCTGGCGCTCTGGTTTTGCAGATGCTATCTCAGTTATCCACTGAGCTGGTTAATCAGAGGCTTCTCTCAATAGGCAAAGCCAAAGTTTATTCAGTTTATTTTAACATCCCAAAGATGTGTGGGGAAAACAGAGTGCTGCTGTGAGATGGAAAACATAAAAGGGTGCATCCCATAGTTAATTATAAAAGAAGCCCTCATAGATTTTCCTTAATTAATCAGGATGGCAAACACAGGTATGGAAATGATCTGTGCTGAGGAACAAACATCTTGTTATTGCCTTGGTGCTTTTCACCTTCAGGCTTCATTCCTGTCTCATAGGAGCAGCCTCCCCCTTTGCTGTTACATCCAGGAAATCAAAATACATATTTCCCTGTCCTTTACAACCTCGATAACTTCCATACATTGCCAGCAACATAAACTCTAATTGTCTCTTATCGTGTCCAGGTCTGCAGCCCAGTAGTTGTGGGAGTCTGGAGTTGTAGGATTTCCACGTGTGGTGGTGTGAGGGAGTTAATGGGGTCACCAGTGTCACTGGTCACAGGTCAGGTGAGCTCTGAGGGAGGATGTGGCTGTGAGCATTTGCAGGCTGCCAGTGACATCTGCACTGTCACTCAAACACAGAAA